TCAAACACCATTGTAAAAAATTGTTAAAGAATTTCATAATTTAGGAAAATTGCTTTAATGCATAGCCTGGAAAGAAGCCCCTATATGCAGTCAGTTGGTTTGATTTCTTAGAAGATAGGAAAAAATGGGTTTGAGAAAATGATTAGTAACAATTAGCCACAGAAGAACAACATTAAGAAATAAATCACTGGGGGACCTTCTTGGTGGCCTAGGGGTTAAGTCTCAGCACTGCCACCACCCTGGACTGATGCCCTGAGTTCCATCCCTGGCCAGGATGCTAACCCACATGTCGTACAGCAGACAGACGTCTCCTGTCTCACCCACTGCTCCTCTTAGCAGTATATTCCAGTAAATCTGCCTGTTTTGCTCCCTATTCTGTCTCTGGTGAATCCTCTCACCTCCCGCATCTCTAGCCTACACCTTGGTTCCTCTACACAAAAATAAATTTAAAAAATAAATATATCACTGGGAACATAGCAGAGGGACTCAGCATACCAAAAGAGAGAATCAGACTTCACATTAGAATTTAAAGAATGTAGTTAGAGGAAAAATTAAGATCTTTGCAACAGATTAAATATGTAACCACTTCAAACAGAAATTATTTAGTCCTCTCACATAGAAAATGTACTACATCTAGTTTTTGATTATCAAAAGCAGAAAATTTCATTAGTAAAGATCCCTTTATTTTAGACTTAAAATGACAATATTCACTGAAGTTTATACTAACAATTATCAAACTATTTTATTAACATCTAAACAGCTTTATTGTGATATCATTCACATACCATAAAATTAATTCTAAAGTTTATAGTTTGGTGGTTTTTAGTTGTGTAACCATTACTATAATCTAATTTTAGAATTATTTTCAGTACTCCCAAGAAGAAATCCAGTAACCATTTGCAGTTATTCCCCATCTGCCTCCTCTGCCAGCCCTGGGCAACCACTAATATCTACTTTGTTTCTATTTTTTTAATAACATTTTAAGCATACAGTATTAGTGTTTTCATGTCTATTCCAAGTCATTGACTCAGGGATTTAAAGGCTCTTAAAACTAGCCAAATTTACAAGCCCGGTGACATTCTCACTCAGAAAACATTCAAATGATGGTTTCACGATGCTGTGATTGTTGTGTCTTCTAAGATTTTTTGATCTGAAACATGTGTTTCAAATTCTGTTTGCTCTACTTATTGGGATGCTAAACTCACTTAGAAGAAGGGTCTCTCTTGTGGCGCAGGGGTTAAAGCCTCAGTGCTATCTGTAGCCCCAGCCACTGCAGCACGAGTTTGATCCCCGGCCAGGGAGCTGACCTACAAGGTGCAGTAGACCTCTCCTGTCTCATCCGCTGCTCCCCTCAGGTTTCTAGTGAATCCTCCACCCTGCACCTCTGGCCTACACCCCAGTTCTTGTATGCATAAGTAAAAAAAGTAAACTCACTTAGAAGGAATGAAACTGTACTGTTCAGACTCAAAACTGAGTTTGTTCTATTTGTGTCAAACAGTCCAGGCTTTCAGTAGTAGGAACAGCTTTAGAAATCTTATGTAGCACAGTGTTACATTCAATAATAATGTCATCTATATCATTGTTTCATTCTTTGCTTAGTGTTTGGTTCAGTATGCATGCTGTGGATAGCCAAGAAGGCTATTATCAGTAGATTGGCTGGAGCTGCTAGAAGCCCCACTGTTCTAAAACTTCATTCTTCTGATTTACTAGTCTTGCTATTAGGAGGTTACGTTGTTTGCAGTCATCGTATCTGTTAGTTGATCAATTCTTCCCTGAGATGTCTATACCGTTAACTTCTAAAATGTCATCATGAGCATCCAATAGTCATGTGCTATTAACCAGACCTAAAATAAACCACAGTAAGATCTCTGGGACCCACTCTAAGCCATGTGGTCTCTCCCTTAGGCTGAAACCATTCCAGCTATAGAGTCTAGAGAATGTTCAATGGCAGGTTTGTAAAAGATAAACCAGCCCTAAGATTGTGTTCCTGGGAGAAGAGCCATTTCTATACTAGAAGACACAGGTCTATAGTCTTGAGGCATACCAGTAACTGGATGTGGCTTTTTTTCTGTGGTTGGCAAAACACAATGCATTAGTTAAAACTTCTTCCTTCATTAGCATGTGTGTACCAAAGGCAGCATTTTCTTCTTCCTTTTATAAAAAATCCTAAGCAGCAAGTTGGCTGTTGGAACATCTTTATGATAATTATTGTTTATAGGTACTAAGTCTCCCTGAATGTCTGTGTAGCTTACTAAAATTCCACTATTAGGTATCTCATAAACATATTGCAGAATGTTTAAGTTTTGCTCTTTCTCATAAAAACCAGTGAAATTCAGTGCCAAGCCTGCTCATCACCTCTAGGACGCCCAATAGCCACGGCCATGCAGAGTGCAGGACTGCCCCATGGGAGCCAGGTTGGGTGCATGCGCATTCATGGCTGCTGCCAAGGAACCTGCAATTTACCAAATGCACCTGTACTGGCAGCCTAGTTATCAGTGTAAGCCCTACTCCACCAGGCTGCCTGCAGTGGCCTGGCAGTACAACAAGTGGAGACAATACTCTCTTCCTTGGCTTTGGCAACTGCAAGGCTCCAGCGGAGGAAAATGGGGTAATTAGCTTACCGACCTCCTTGCTCTTATATTGTGTACAGATACCAGGTTGGATTTTCTATATGTGTTTTTCTCTCTCTTCCATTTTCTCACTAATAGCAGCCTACTTCCTTTCCTTGGCACCTGCCCATGGTTGTCTTAAACCAGTTGACTAGGCTAAAAAATTATGTATGAATGCATATACAATGTATATGCTTTTATTTTAAATACAACACCTCACCACCTTGATGTCTTTCATTCCCTTTCTATAGACATGTGCCTCTGCTTCCTGATACCTTTCGTTGGTTTCTGTAATGTCATTTTCCCCAAACATTGCTTCCTTCCAGATTCTTCATTGTCTAGCCTCTTAGGTGGCAAAGCTTTCTTTGACATCTTGGCCTTTAGTCAAGCTGTCCTCCCTGCCCTTCTTTGACACCTTTCCGTGCCTTCTTTTCTGCTTATTCAGTACAAATCTGAAAGGGCTTTCACAAAGAAGCCTTAAATTATCTCAGCATACTTTTATCGCTCAGACTTTTTCACATCCAAAGCCTTTTTTTCCACCTTTCTCCAATATTCATACCCCATTTTCTTTTGTATTCACAATTCCTGTACTCCATATGTACTTATTTTCTCAATAATCTTCCCATCTTCATTTCATTTAAATCCTTTGTTGAAGAATTCTCTCCCATCCCTTTCTTTGGTGTCTTCCTCTAATTCTGAGGTAGCTATCTTTGTCTGTTTTCTCCCTTACACTCTTAACCTTCTCCAAAAGATTATACTCTGATAATGTATATGTAAAGTTCAGTTGAGTGTTTCTAAATAAATATCTGCTTTTCATTACGGTGAAATCTAAACTATTATCATGGAAATAACCCTGGAAAGATGAGTTCTTCACTTGAAAGGTTCAAATAGAGATTCTCCTGCTGGGAAACAAGAGCCAAAAGTCATAGTCTGTCTTCCAAAAATTGTTATATGCAGATGTAACTCAACTCTTGAGGTGTATGTGAATTAATACTATTATTGTAAGTTAACTTGTACAGGAAAGACGGCATTCCGTTGCCAGCCTGCACGACAAAGACCTTGTGCTAAATATTACACCAAGAGGGCCTCCCCTGTGGCACAGTTGGTTGAGTTGTCCGCATCCTCTGCAGCGCGGGTTTGATCCCGGCTGGCCAGGGAGCTACCCACGTGGCACAGCCGACCTCTCCTGCTGTCTGCCTGTTTGCTCCATGCTCTGTCTCTGATGAATCCTCTCGCCCTCCCGCGCTTCTGGCCTGTACCCCAGCTCTTCTATAAATAAAATAAATCTTTACAAAAATATAAAAAAATAAATATTACTCCAAGAGAAATGTTTCAAGGCATGTTGTGATCACATAATGCCAAAAAAGAGCTAATTATTGCTAAGAGATCAATGAATGCAAATGTGAAGTAGAAATAGTCATTGAGCACGTTTACTAGGCACTGAACAAGATTCTGCAGACCAGGTTTGCCTCATAGCTGGGTAACCATATGTTCTGCTTTGCTTGGGCATCCTGATTTAGGTGTATTGTCCCAGTATCATCATTAGTAGCATCATTTTTTACACAGGCTTGGAGGATAAATTATCTGACTATTCTTATCATTAGCCAACCAGTTGCTATTCATAGTTTCTCTGGGTTAAATACTATATAGTTTTAATTTAAGCAGCTCTAATGAGGCTGCAGTTGTACTTCTCTTTCACTTGAACAGATTGTTCCTTGACCATAGGAAATGCATAACAAAAGTAACTGCAAATAAAGCCCACACATATTTTTCCTGAGCCACCTTATAGAGGGCAGTATTATATATATCTGAAATCATCTAGTTCCAAGAAAAGATGGACTTTTGCTTAGGCATGAAAATCAGAACCATTTGATGTTCTTTCAATAACACACTGGAACCAATATTGTAAATAAATCTTATCTAGTCCTAGGAAATATTAAAAATTAACATTCTGAAAATTAGGTTTTTGTAATTATAAAAACTGAACTTTGATGACTTCAATATACAGTGATCCATAACAATTATACATAAACTAAGAATGTGCATATTTATGCTTTCATGTTTTCTCTAATAATTTTACCTTGTTAATGTAATATCTTCCGCATTATACATGGTTTTCACGTTTATGGAAGATAAGCACTTAAAAATATTTCTGTTCTATATGCTTAAATATTACTTTTCTCTAAAAGAGAAAATCATAAATGCTATTTTTACCATATGACTTGAAGTATGTGATAATGTAGCAATCTAGTTTTTAGACTTAGAATGTTTCTTAGATATTGTGTAATTTTATGCATCCAGTAGGTAATTTGTTAGCTTCTAATATCAAAAGTATATTGTGTGTGTTTCACGTTTTGGATTTCCTAATGTAATGTTCTCTTTTTAGAAAAGGTGGACAAGTCCTATTTTCAAGAGAAGATGACTTTAAACAGTTTTGAAGGATCTAAAACTTGTGTACCTGCAGACATCGATAAGGATGAAGAGTTTATAGGAGAGTTTAATAGATTAAAAACTTTTTCTAATTTTCCAAGTAGTAGTCCTGTTTCAGCATCAACGCTAGCACGAGCTGGTTTTCTATATACTGGTGAAGGAGACACCGTGCGGTGCTTTAGTTGTCATGCAGCAGTAGATAGTTGGCAATATGGAGACTCAGCAGTTGGAAGACACAGGAAAGTATCCCCAAGTTGCAGATTTATTAATGGTTTTTATTTTGAAAATAATCTCACGCAACCTACAGATCCTGGTGTTCAAAATGGTCAGTACAAAGCTGAAAACCATCTGGGAAGCAGAAATCTTTTTGTTTTAGACAGGCCATCTGAGACTCAAGCAGACTATCTTTTGAGAACTGGACAGGTTGTAGATCTATCAGACACCATATACCCAAGGAATCCTGCCATGTGTAGTGAAGAAGCTAGATTGAAGTCATTTCAGAACTGGCCAGACTATGCCCACTTAACCCCAAGAGAGTTGGCTAGTGCTGGACTCTACTACACAGGTATTGATGATCAAGTGCAATGCTTTTGTTGTGGTGGAAAACTGAAAAACTGGGAACCTTGTGATCGTGCATGGTCAGAACACAGGCGACACTTTCCTAATTGTTTCTTTGTTTTGGGCCGGAATGTTAATATTCGAAGTGAATCTGATGTCGTGAGTTCTGATAGAAATTTCCCTAATTCATCAAATCCACCAAGAAATCCAGCCATGGCAGATTATGAAGCACGGATCATTACTTTTGGCACGTGGATATACTCAGTTAACAAGGAGCAGCTTGCGAGAGCTGGATTTTATTATTTAGGTAAACTTTATTATAAAACTAGGCTAATAAATAACTTTCCAGCTATCCTAGGGTTCTTTAAGAGTAAGTTTTTTTTTTTTGGAGAAGGATGGCATGCAAAAAATGATCAATATCCATGGTAAAATGGGTCTGATATTAATACTAAATATGACTTTTTATGTTTAATACATATATTACATGCATTTTCTGTATACCTCACAATAATCCTATAAGAAGAATTAACAAGAGTTTAGTTTGGCTAATACTAAAATTGATATCTGTCTTTTGTACATAGACTATGTATTTGAAAGCTGCCTTGTATGATGCCTTACTGTATGAAATGAGTATTTTTCAAATGGATACAGTAGCCACTGCCAGGAAGAGCTATTAGTATGAGAGCTTCTAGGGATAATCAGAAAAATTATGCCATTATATATCTGACCCATTTACTTTAGAGTTATTTTGCTTTTTAAAATATGAGTCACATTTATTTAGTCTAGTAGTCACATTTTTAAAAGTAAAGGGTGAAAATGATTTTAATGGTATATTTTAGTCCATTATATCCTAGATTATCATTTCACACATATTCGATATAAAAAAAGAATGATATTTTAAATTATATTCCTATGTTTACTTCACATGTAGAGAACACCTATCTTATATTTTATTTACATAGTATAATATAGCAAATTTGAAGATTTGTTTAGTGTCATGTATTTATAACCTTCAAGAAATTATTTCATTATGCTAACTTTATTGTTATAGTATCACAGCTTGAAAAAGCCTACATGTAGTAGGGATAGCCCCAAATAACATATTTAAAAAGAACATTGCAGTTGTGATTTTTCACATACAAATGGGCAATTTTATTTTTGTCTTCTGTAAAATACCTCAAATTGGAATCAGTGAATTTAGTGTGTATTTCCTCCTCAAATAATCATATCTGTTACTTAGATGTGAGTTTGAATGTTTTCTTACAAGCTATGAGATTTTCATGTAATTTAGAAGTCATAATTTTATGATACCAAAAAGAGGGTTTTTTGTATAAGTTTCTGGTTGCGCAAATACATGTATTTTTACTCATGTGTTTTCTTAGGTGAAGGTGATAAAGTAAAGTGCTTTCACTGTGGAGGAGGGCTAACTGATTGGAAGCCCAGTGAAGACCCTTGGGAACAGCATGCTAAATGGTATCCAGGGTAAGGCATTTAAATGTTAATACAGTAATGGGCAAGTTGGACAATGTGCAGTGGGAGGACTTGAATAACTTTTCACCTCAACTATTTTTGCCTTCACTGTGGCTTGAAATTCGCGCCAGGTTTATAAAAATGGGGTCACCTACTTTATAGGAAAAAAAACACCTAAGCCTTCTCTGGTGACCAACACATTCATTGTTTGTGTATCAGATCTATGACAGTCAGGTGATTCTATTTCTAAACACCAAATTAGGAATGTATACTTTTGAAGCAAGCGCTTTCATGATGGGCACAAGAGAGCCCATTTTGCCAAGAAGATTCTTTAAAAGTTCATTACGCCCCTTAGCAGCTATTACTGTATTTCATTGATTCTAAGTAAGATACACATTTGTTCACATTTTCAGATCCGAAATCAGGAACCATCTGGTGGTGGGTCATAGTTTAATTGGTAGCAGTGACAAATAAAATAATCACACTTCCTAAAATCAGTGGTGTCCAAGAATGATGCCATACTAAATGTTTCTTTTCCATCTTGCCTCTAAAATAAAGTGCAGGGCCTCCCCTTGTGGCGCAGCGGTTGAGCGCTGGGCTGCGAAGCTGCCCGCAGCCTCTGCAGCGCCGGTTCAATCCCCGGCCACCGGTGAGGGTCTCACATGGTGCGCAGACCTCTCCTGCCTCGCCCGCTGCTCCCCTCAGCAGTGTACCTGCCTGTTCTGCTCCCCGCTCTGGCTCTGGTGAATTCTCTCACCCTCCTGCGCTTCTGACTGTACCCAGTGCTTGTATAAATAAATAAATCTTAAAAAAAAATTAATAAATAAAAAATAAAATAAAGTGCAGGGCCTCCCCGGTGGCGCAGCGGTTGAGCGCTGGGTTGCGAAGCTGTCCGCTGCCTCTGCAGCGCCGGTTCAATCCCCACCTGCTCCCCGGCCACCGGAGGAGGATCCCACATGGCGTTCAGACCTCTCATGCCGCCCGCTGCTCCCCTCAGCAGTGTACTTCAGTCCTTCTGCCTGCTCTGCTCCCTGCTCTGGCTCTGGTGAATTCTCTCACCCTCCCGCGCTCTGACTGTACCCAGTGCATGTATAACCAAAACAAACAAACAAAACAAATAAATAAATAAACATGCCTCTATTAAAAAATAAATAAATAAAAATAAAATAAAATAAAGTGCATAGATATATGTCATGTGAATTTTCAGCTTACAAAATAGTACAACTTAAAACTTAAGCGCAGGGCCTTCCCGGTGGCGCAGCAGTTGAGCGCTGGGTTGCAAAGCTGCCCGCAGCCTCTGCAGCGCCGGTTCCATCCCCAGATGCTCCCCAGCCACTGGAAGAGGGTCCCACAAGGCGTGCAGACCTCTCCTGCTGCCCGCTGCTCCCCTCAGCAGTGTACTTCGGTCCTTCTGCCTGTTCTGCTCCCCGCTCTGGCTCTGGTGAATTCTCTCACCCTCCCGCGCTTCTGACTGTACCCAGTGCTTGCATTAATAAATAAATAAATATTTTTTAAAAATTAAAAAAATAAAATAAAAATAAAACTTAAGAGCAGTCATTTGAAAATAAATCTTAAACAGCCTTGAAAGGTTGAAATGTCTGAGTACTTCCTTTGAAATGTACAACTGGTTGATCCTCTAAATAAAACTTGTTAAAATTAGACATTTTAAATGTTTTTCAATGTCAAGGTGCTAATTTAATAATTTTCTTAAAAGTTGAAAATTCTCAAGTTTTTTTTTTTTGTTCTACTAGCATCAGCATAAGTAGCTTAACAAAGGCACGTATTTTAACCTTAAAGTGACTTTCAGGTGGGGAATTGAGTTGCATTTCATTTTGCAGCTTCTTAGAAATACCAATAAGTAATTTAATGGAATTGAGGATGATTGTGATTATATCTTTATTTATACTTCACTAATTTATCATCTAATAAAATTTAAATATCTTTTAATTGTTTAGGTGTAAATATCTGTTAGAAGAGAAGGGACAAGATTATATAAACAATATTCATTTAACGCATTCACTTGAGTCTCTGGTAAGTCACATATGGTAGAATATGTTTTCCAGTATTATGCATTTTGTTCTACAATACTTTTTTGGTGTAAAGTTCACAGTATGGTATTTTAAATTAATAGTGTATGGTAAGTTTTAAAGGGGAAAATTTTAAAAATTTTGTTTTTCTAAACGTAAAACAAATTTGTGAAAAGGAAACCAGGATGAACTGATTAAAGTATCACTATAGGCCTTCTGAAATTAGACTTTTGTATAATTCATTTTGTACTCTTAAGTACTTTCAAACTTTTCACAGATGATATTTAAAATCTCAAATATATGTAAATTGATACCATGAGCTGGGTGGCCAAGGCATCAGCACCAGTAGAAAGAGCTCTGGACTAGAATGTGAGATCAGAGTTGCCTTTATGGCTCTGCTGTGAACTGTGTTGTCTTGATCAAGTAGCTTAATCTCCCTGGACCTCAGCTTCCTGTCTATAAAGTAAATGGATTCAGTTAGATAATCTTTTAACTTCCATCTGGCTTCATTGGGCTATACCTTTTGTGTATATTCATATGTTGAATCAGAATAAAGCCAATTTATAAATTAATGATTGGTGTAACTTTTCAAATTAAGGTGATTCCCTTCTATTTTCTATTTTAGGTAAGACCTGCTGAAAAAACACCATCACTAATTGAAAGAACTGGTAAATACTCTTATTAAAACATACTTTTAATTATACTGTCAATTCATTACAGTTGTATTTACAGGATGGGAAGGTAAAGATTTATTTTTTCAGTGTCACCAAAATACATTTATTTGAGATGAAATTGCTATACATTTAAGAATCTAAGGAAGTACCTATAGGCTTAAGGTGGACATTTATATATTGAGAACATTTGTATAGCCATTGGACAGTTAGGTTTTCCAAGTTCAGGAATTGCAGCTATAGGCTGTCCAAATCACAAAAGGAAGGATTTAGTATTTTTTGTTCCTGGGACTTCTTAGGTCAGTGAGGATCATGACTCCAAGCTGTGCTAATGTGCCGTCACATGACCAGCCCCACCCTCCCTGCTTCCTTATCCCATGCCATCTGTATGCCTTCCCCAGCTTCTTCACAGAAGGGTCCAGCTTGGTTTGTTTCCCTTCTATTTCCTCATAGAAAACTAGACATTTTTATCAGAAAGCATGTTTACTCTTCATACACATCTTTAAAAACCAGAAAGTGGAATGAGAAAGATATGTTATGTGAAGCAATGAATATATTATTATCCCACTTCTCTGATGAAGCAACCAAGAGAAGTGACCTGCCCACAGTTACATTAAAAACCACTGGTGGAACTACGACAGTAAATAAAGTCTTCTGAATCCTGTATCACACTACAGATTTCATTCTCAGCTTAAGCATCATATTTCAAAACTAGTAGAAAGTTTAATTTACAGCTTATCTGGTGATCCCCTGTATTTGTTGCATCATCTATAATATTTAGTATCTTAAGGATTGCAAGACAATACTATAAATAGGCTTGAGAAGGAAACCACTTTAATATCACTTCGTCGGAGTTTTGTAGTGGCATAAATAATGCAGTTTAATAAGTTATTTATTACACCTTTTGTTTTTAAAATGTATAGAAACAAAGATTCTGTATCATTTCTTGATAGTATATTTTAGTATTATCCTTAGAATGCATACTATTTTTCTTATGAGACACTTGAGACTAATGAAACTCTTGCTTTGGTTTAGGGTTCATGTTTTCAAATTGAGATATAATTCATACATCAAAGTTTCACCCTTATAAAGTATACACTTTAGGGGCCTCCCTGGTGGCGCAAGGGGTTAAGCGTCAGCACTATGAAGCAGTCTGTAGCACTAGTTCAATCCCCAGCCTGGGAGGTGACCCACATGGCGCAGCAGACCTCTCCTGTCTTGCCCGCTGCTCCCCTCAGCAATGTATTTCAGTCAATCTGCCTGTTCTGTTCCCCATTCTGTCTCTGGTGAATCATGTCACCCCACCATACCTCTGGCCCACACCCCCAGCTCTTGTATGCATAAATAAATAAATATTTTAAAAAATAAAGTATACACTTTAATGACATTTAGTATGTTCACAAAGTTATGCAGTCATCACTACTATTTAACTGTAAAACATAATTCCAGAAGAAACCTTACTACCCATTAGCAGTCACTCCTCATTGCCACCCTCACCTCTCCCCTCAGACCAAGCAATCATTCATTTTTTTTTTCTGTCCAATGGATTTGCTTATTCTGGAGAGTTCGCATAAATGGAGTCATAATATATGGCCTCAAGATTCATCCATTTTGTAGTACTCATGTGAGTACTTTATTCCTTTTTATGCTGGAGAATATGCCTTTGTATAGATAATACCATATTTTACTTATCCTTTCATCAATTGTTAGACATTTGGGTAGTTTTCTACTTTTTTAAAAAATTTATTTATTTATGCATACAAGGCTGGGGTACAGTACAGAAGGTGTGGGGGGTGAGAGGATCCACCAGAGACAGAGTGAGGAACAGAACAGGCAGATTGACCAAAGTACACTGCTGAGGGGAGCAGCGGGCGAGTCAGGAGAGTTCTGCTGTGCCATGTGGGTTGCTCCCTGGCTGGCCGGGGACTGGGGATCGAACTCATGCTGCAGTGGCTGTGGACAGCTTCATAGGTTGTGTCTTAACCCCTGGCGTCACCAGGGAGGTCCGGTTTCTACTTTTTGGCTATTAGGTGTTGATGTTGCCATGATTATTTGCTTATAAGTTTTTGTGAGAATGTGTTTTTCTTTCTTCAGGGTATATATTTGGAGATGTAATTGTCGGTCATGTGGTAGCTCTATGTTTAACCTTAAGATAAACTACAAGACAATTTTTCCAAAGTGACTATACCATTTTACATTCTTACCAGAAGTGTCTGAAGGTTCCAGTTTGTTTTTCCACATCATTTTTAGCACTTAATTATTTTTTTCTTTCTTATTACATCCATCCTAGTGGGTATGAGGTGATAACTCCTTGTGGTTTAGATTTGCATTTCCCTGATGGCTAGTATCTTCTTTGGAGGAATGTCCCTTGTTAGTTATGTAATTTACAAATATTTCTTCCTGTTTTGTGGGTTCTTTTCACTCTTGTTGGTATCTTTTGAAGCATGTAAATTAAATTTAAAGTTTGATGCAGTACAACTTATTTTTTTTTTATTTTTTTAATAGAGGCATGTTTTTATTTATTTGTTTGTTTGTTTGTTTATACATGCACTGGGTATAGTCAGAAGTGCGGGAGGGCGAGAGAATTCACCGAGCCAGAGTGGGGAGCAGAGCAGGCAGAAGGACCAAAGTACACTGCTGAGGGGAGCAGCGGGCGGCAGGAGAGGTCTGCGCGCCATGTGGGACCCTCCTCCGGTGGCCGGGGAGCAGCCGGGGATCGAACCGGTGCCGCAGAGGCTGCGGACAGCTTCGCAACACAGCGCTCAACCGCTGCGCCACCGGGGAGGCCCAGTACAACTTATTTTTTTTCAAATTTTTTTTTAATAGAGGCATGTTTTATTTATTTGTTTGTTTGTTTTGTTTATACATGCACTGGGTACAGTCAGAAGCGCGGGGGGTGGGGGCAAGAGAATTCACCAGAGCCAGAGCGGGGAGCAGAGCAGGCAGAAAGACCAAAGCACACTGCTGAGGGGAGCAGCGGGCGCAGGAGAGGTCTGCGCGCCATGTGGACCCTCCCCAGGTGGCCGGGGAGCAGCCGGGGATCGAACCGGCGCCGCAGAGGTCGCCGGCAGCTTCGCAACCCAGCGCTCAACCACTGCGCCACCGGGGAGGCCCACAACTTATTTTTTGTTACTTATATTTTGGCACCAATAGCTAAAGTCATTTCTATTCTAAGAGTGTTGACTGTGATTCAGATTTTTGATGCATTTTGAGTTAATTTTTGTTTATGGTAGGAAGTAGGCATCCATTTAATTCTCTCTTTAATTTTAATTTTTTAAACATTCCTGTTTATTTTTTTAATTTTTGAAAAAGATTTTTATTTTATTTATGAATACAAGAGCTGAGGTGTAGACCAGAGGTGCGGGGAGTGAGAGGATTCAAGAGAGAGAATGGGAGCAGAACAGGCAGGTGTACTGAAATACACTGCTGAACAGAGCAGCAGGTGAGACAGGAGAGGTCTGATGCGCCATGTGTGTCACCTCCCTGGCCGGCTAGGGATCAAACTCGTGCTGCTGCTGTAGTGACTGGCAGTAGCTTGATAGTGCTGTCTTTAACCCCTGCACTACCAGGGAGGCCCTCTGTTTATTTTTTCAAGATATAAGATTTTTTCCCCTCATGTTCTATGACATAGTTTAATTCTTTTTCATGTGGAGATGCTGTTGTCACTGGTTTTGGTTTGTAGCAAGTTGAGTTTGCGATACCCACAGATGGATAGTAAAATCTGGAATGCATAGAAATGAGGTTAAATTGTAGAAGTTTCCAGAGAGATCACTAAAAAAAGGGTCAATGAGGGAATGAAAGGAAACCACTAATGTCTAAGGTAGGCAGAAGGAGCCAGCAAACAAACAAAAAGTCTCAGATGATACAACAAGGAAACATCTAGCTACCCCTAGACGTTTCCTCCTGGAAATCTCAAAAACAACTCAAATTCAGCATCTCTTAAAACTTCTCAGACTGAATTGGGTCATACTCTTTCTCTCCTACTGTTAGTTAATAGTACAACAGTTCACAATGTTGTCTGATAATTTGAGTCATTATAAGCTCTTGCTCTCCTTAATCCTTTTATAATTAATTAGTTTACCAGGTCTAATGATTTCTCCCTTTTGACTGTTGCTTAAAATCCACTGATTTTGCCCTAGTTCTTGCCCTTATTTCTTATCTGGACTATTGTAGTCATCTCCTAACTAGTCCTTTGTCTGCATTATAAGCTCCTGACAGAATTTTTCCTACTTAGAAATTATCTTTTGTTGGGCCTCCCTGGTGGCGCAAGGGGTTAAGTCTCAGCACTATGAAGCTATCTCCAGCCACTGCAGCAAGTGTTCAATCCCTGGCCAAGGAGCTGACCCACATGGTACAGTAGACCTCTCCTGTCTCACCCACTGCTCCCCTCAGCAGTGTATTTCAGTAGATCTGCCTGTTCTGCTCCCCACTCTGTCTCTGGTGAATCCTCTTACCTCTCCTCAACCTCTGGCCTACACCCCCAGCTCTTGTATGCGTAAATAATTAATCTTTTTAAAAATGTATTTTTTGTTACTTACTTACCTTGTAACATTCCTTAATATATCCCTATATCTCTCTTTCCAACCTCTTCAAAAATGTATATTGAGGTATAATATAATACACATATAATAAAGTGCTTAAAGAGCACTAATCTTAAGTATTCAGTGAATTTTAACACATACAGTAAATCCTCACTGAATGTTGTGGACAAGTTCTTAGAAACTGCTAGTCTTAGGAAAAGAACATATAATAAAATCGATTTTACCACAGACTAATTGATAGAAACAAGAGTTAAATTCTTTCAGCATTTCTGGTCACAAAAACATTGCGAAACTTCTAAATAAAGACCATAAATATTAATTTGTACTCGTTCATTTTCCCAACCTGCTTATTCCATTTCAGGGTGGTAGGTGGCTGGAGACCTTCTTTGCAATTCAGGGCATAAGGCAAGACCCAGCCCTGGACAGGATTCTGTTCCATCACAGGGCACATCATGCACACTCACTCACTCAGACTGGGATAATTGAAACATACCAATGAACCCAATGGACACGTCTATAGAATGTGGGAGGAAACCAGAAGACCTGGCAAAAACCCACGCAGACATGGGGAGAATATGTGTACTCCACAGAGATAGTGGCCCTGGCTGGGAATTGATTGTTCTTTTCTCATTGATGTTATAAGGAAACAATATTGAATAAAGCGATGTTATTTGAAGATGTTATTTGTACATACCTGTGATACAGGACATTTCTATCACCGCTTAAAACTCCTTTAAGCCTCTTCCCAATCAATACCAAGCCCAAGTTGTATTCTGACTTCTGTTACTATAAATTATTTTTGAACATTTTATGAATGTAATCTTGCAGTATGTACTCATTTTGTCTCTGGTTCATCATCATGATATTTTGCTCATCAAATCTATGAGATTCATCCATGGTATTTTTGACAGTAGTTTATTCTTTTTCTTGCTGTGTAGTGTTTAAATACCACAATTTATTTATCCATTCACCTGATGGGCATATGAGTTGTTTCCAAACAGGAAACACCTAAGAGCACTTTCTAATAGTATCTTAGCAGCTCTCCTGCTGCCTGTGACTATGCAGGTGTCTCTGCATAGTTTGGGACCATTATAAATAATACTCCTATGAATGTTATGTATGTCTTTAGTGGACATTTGCATTCATTTTTTATACCCAAGGGTGGAATTGATGAGTTAGAAGGTATAGGTCTCTTTTAGCACTTTCCTTCTTAACCTGTATTGTTCCTCTTTAAGCATTAAAGCAAGTTTTTTTTTTAAAGATTTATTTATGCATACAAGAGCTGGGGTACAGGCCAGAGATGTGGGGACTGAGAGGATTCACCAGACACAGAGCGGGGAACAGAACAGTTAGACCAACCAAAATACACTGCTGAGGGGAGCAGTGGGCGAGACAGGAGAGGTCTGCTGCGCCCTATGGGTTTCTCTCTGGCCGGCCAGGGATTGAACTCATGTTGCAGAGGCTGCGGATTGCTTCATAGTGTGGCGCTTAACCCCTTGCGCCACCAGGGAGGCCCTAAAGCGGTTTTTATTTGCTTTCTTGCCTTATCTATTTCAGCTCTCTTGGCAACGGAAACTAAGTCTGAGAGATAGGAAACTGATAAAGTCAAGGTCACAGACTGGAATTTCTCCCTATTCCCCATGTGTTCTTTCTTTTCCTTTTTTTTTTTTTCAAAATAACTTAGTAAAGATAACTACTCTTGGGCCTCCCTGGTTGTGCAAGGCATTAAGTCTCAGCACTATGAAGCTATAGACAGCCAGTGCTAACCCACATGGTGCAGCAGACCTCTCCTGTCTGACCTGCTGCTCCTCTTAGCAGTGTATTTTAATAGATCTGACTGTTCTGCTCCCCACTCTGTCTCTGGTGAATCCTCTCACTCCCCACCCCCTACACATCTGGCCTACACCCCAGCTCTTGTATGCATAAATAAAATAAATTTTTTAAAAAACATATTTACTCTTTAAGTACCTTAGGTTAGTTATTAATGAGTCCAGCTGATTTGAACAGCATTAGGACTTTTGAAGCACTTATCCCTTTTCTTATCTGTTCTACCTTATCTTATATTGTTTCATGAGGGTCTTTGCAGCATTTAATCTCAATTCATAGTGCTACAGAATACATACTGCATTTTCAATTGATCGTAGGATTCTCAAAGTCATCATTTAGTGCCTAAATATTTCAAAAGTTTCCTCCCAAAGTAACTTTGGTTGGTTTGCTTGCTGCTTAAATTTTCCTTTTAAACTATATTTTGCCTTAAGTTGTGTTAATGAAAATACCAGTTTAAACTCTATGTTCTTTTTCCTCACCAATTTTTATTCCAGATGATACCATCTTTCAGAATCCTATGGTACAGGAAGCTATACGCATGGGATTCAATTTCAGGGACATTAAGAAAATAATAGAGGAAAAAATTCAGACATCTGGGAGCAACTATAAATCACTTGAGGTTCTGGTTGCAGATTTGGTGAGTGCTCAGAAAGACAATGCACAAGATGAATCAAGTCAGACCTCCTTGCAGAAAGGTATGTATGGCTATTTTTAAAACAGGAAACACCTAAGAGCACTTTCTAATAGATAGTATCCTAGCAGCTCTCCTGCTGCCTGTGACTATGCAGTTGTCTCTCTTTTTCTTTCTCCTTTTCCTAATAAACCTGTCCTTTTAAAATGCAATAAAACACCTATAGTATCTTATGTGTCTTTGTGACCCACTCATTGCCCTCCTTTCATATCTCTCTTGAATAACAGTCTTTACCTTTTATAATGAAAACTTTCAAATATTCTTAAAAATTCAAATATAGTCAGAAGTGGAAAGAACCATATAATGAGTTTTCATGTACCTACCTATCAACCAGCTATAGTAATCCTCAACACTTTTCCAGTCTTGTTTCTTCCCCTGGTTTTTTTTTGTTTTTGTTTTTGTTTTTGTTTTTTTGGCTATATTATTTCAAAGCAAATCTAAGACATTCTACATATCTTTTACCTATAAATGCTTCAATATATATCTAATAAGTAACATTTTTTTTTAAAACATAACCATAATGTGTGTGAGTCTGCGCAGAAGGCTATAATATAGTACCACAGACTAGGTGGCTTAAATAACAGACATTTTTCTCAATAGTCTCTAGAGGCTGGGAAGTCCAAGATCAAGATGTAGGCAGATTTGCTCTCTGTCGAGGACTCCCCCAGGCTTATAAATGACTGCCTTCTCTTTGTGTCACATGGCAGAGAGAAGAGAACACTTTGGTCCTCTTCCTCTTATAGGACACAGACCAGTCATGGGAGCACCACCTTTATGAGCTCATCTAACCCTAATTACCTCACAAAGGCTCCATCTCTAAGTGCCATGACATTGGCTGGGGGTGGAGGGAGTTGGATTCAAGCTTCAACATATGAATTTTGGGGAAACAGTGATAGTCCAAAACATACTGTTGTCACACTTTACAAAATTACCAGTTTATTCTAGACTATCTGAAACTCAGGTAGTTTTAATTATCCCCATTGTCTTAAAATGTTTTTACAGACTGATCTGTTCTAATCAGGATCCAATAAGATCCATTGATTCATCAATTTTGAAAGTGTGAGTTTATACTCTAAATAAAGGACAATAAAGGCTGACATTTATCATTGTGTATAGACTAAGTTTTGTAGTTAAAATCATTTGGATTTAAAGTGTTCTACAACCTCTCATGATGTAAACATATAAAGGGTCATATTACTAAATGGAACTTGAATGAATGGCACCCTAATACTATAAATCATATATAGAAAGTGTATTAAATAATGTAAGAGATGTATATGAGCTCCTTTTAGGGAAAAGATCAAAAATACTAGTTCCTGGGCCTCCCCGGTGGCGCAGCGGTTGAGCGCTGGGTTGTGAAGCTGCCCGCGACCTCTGTGGCGCCAGTTCGATCCCCGGCTGCTCCCTGGCCACCAGAGGAGGGTCCCACATGGCCGCAGACCTCTCCTGCCGCCCGCTGCTCCCCTCAGCAGTGTACTTCGGTCCTTCTGCCTGCTCTGCTCCCCACTCTGGCTCTGGTGAATTCTTTCACCCTTCCGCGCTTCTGACTGTACCCAGTGCATGTATAAACAAAACAAACAAACAAACAAACAAATAAATAAAACATGCCTCTATAAAAAAAAAAAATACTAGTTCCTGCTTTAAAGATGGCGGCTACTCTAGTGCATGCCAGCACCATTGAAGTTGAAAGAAAATGTTTCAAACTGAATACATTTTTGGATACTTGGGTACAGCATAACATTAATGATTTTTAAAAATTGTATCAGTTGATGTAAAAGATTCAGTAGAAAGTTTACTATTCTCTTCCTAAGGATGCATTTATTTAAAACGTACAATAGCTCCACTTGTCTTAGTGATAGTCAAATAAGCTGTTGATTTGGTCATCTTTCTATTACAGTAGAAATGTGAATGGTTATGTCATTTTCCCTGAATCTTAATCACAACTCAAGCTTAATTCAGTTTGACAGTAAGGTGCTAGCTTTTATACCTGTAGATGTTGTCTACAACAGAGGATCTAGTGGGTTGCAGTTGGAGGAGAACAAGGGACAGAGTATGTTGGGGAATGCGTGTACTGACAAAACAAGCTAAGATGACGTGGCAAAGAAGGAGGGCCTAAGCAAATGGCAGCCTTCAGAGACCGGGGTTGACATCACCATCTCACTAAATTGAGAGGCAGGTAATTGATAACAGGCTCTCTTCACATAATAGAGCTGCTGCCTATTTCTCTTTCCAGTGGTAATGAGAGTCTTTTAATTTTATGCAAAACAGAGCCCTGATTGAAGTAAAGCAGGTGGAAATTATCAGAAATGTATAATGCTGTTGTTGCTTACTGAGAAATCCTGGATTCAGTGGTAGTTTTTATTCCCCCCCAGTGACTGTGTAACAGAATGCCCCAGTAAATGGTCTTCTATAAATAGTGCTAAATCATAGTGTGACATAAAGCCCTCCACTTCATGTGTGTCCTAAAGCATTTATCTTAATCCCTGTGTGTATATTAGTGTATATGGTATAAAAATCAACATATACGTATTTCTTATCCGTCTATCTTTCCACATGGATCTGCTCTGATAAAATGAGGAAGTTTATTCTAGAAGTGGTTTAAAATAATGTAGTAGAGGGCCTCCCTGGTGGCGCAAGGGGTTAGGTCGCAGCACTGTGAAGCTACCTGCAGCCACTGCAGCATGAGTTCAATCCCCGGGCAGGGAGCTACCCAAATGGTGCAGCAGACCTCTCCTATCTTGCCCGCTACTGCCCTCAGCAGTGTATTTCAGTCAATCTGCCTGTTCTGTTCCCCACTCTGTCTCTGGTGAATCCTTTTACCCCCTGCACCACTGGCCTGTACCCCAGTTCTTATATGCATAAATAAATGAATAAATCTTTTTTTAAAAATAATGTAGTAGGAATGTTAGCAAATAACATCCCCGGTTATCTAGCTATTCCTTTATTATTCATGTGCCCAGCCAGACCCTCCTGACTAGAAGAGGGCCTTGTAAGATGTAGAAAGGAAAATGTGCCTTAGGGAAGGAAGTATTTGTCAAGTCTGGAGGGAGCAGGGAATCTATGCTCAGAGTATCACTATTACAAACAAGTGGTTACATGTGAGGCTGAATTAAGGTAGAGTTGATGATACCAGTGTTTGGTAGTATGCCATTTCGTTCCATTGTGGCCTCTAAAATGGAATCACAATCAGAACCAAGAACAGCCTTAAACATCACGTAACACCTTTTATCACTTCAGTGAGAAAGCTGCAGTGCAGATGTGCTCTTGCCCAAGATCACTCAGATAGTTGGGAGTGAAATTCTGGTTTCCTAACCTGGCTGGTCCAGTGTTCCTTTTTTTTTTTTAATTTTTAAAAATAATTTTGAAATATACATAACATAAAAGTTTACCATTTTTACTATTTTTAAGTGTACATTTCAGTAGTGTTGAGTACAATCACATGGTTGTGTGGCCGATCTCCAAAACTCTTTACATCTAGGAAACTGTCACTCTGTCCCCATTAAACAGCAATTCTCCATTCATCCTCCCTAGCCCTTAACAACCACTATTCCATTGTCTGCATAAATGTGACTGCTCTGGGTATCTGGTCCAGTGTTCTTTTTTACTCATTGTATCATCTCATCTAAAAGTAATATGCAAATTACTTAGTTATTTCCCTCCTCTAGATTTTTATTTTTATTCTATTTTGATCAGATGCTCTTATGTAATATAAATCAGTTCATAATGCCATCCCATCACTTACGTTGTTTCTTCTGCTCTGAATGCCTTTCCCCTTTCTGTATATCTAGCCTTAGTCTTCACCCCGTATTTATTTCCCTAAATCCATCTTGCCAACATATCCTTTGAGTTTTTCCCGATGCACATAACAGAGCTCAGAACCCCTCCTTGACTCTGTTGGAACATTTGGAACTGTTTTGTGTCCTGGCCATTAGACCAAGCTTTTTGAGGGCTGGTGCTTTATCTTACCTCTGATACATTCAGTGTTTGAGCCTATAGTTTTGATTATGCCCAGGAGGGTGCTTTTTAAGAAGATTAAATAATCCTTTCCTCCACCCCTAGCCAGGAGAATCTTTTTGAAGCACAAATCTGATCCTGTCTCTCTGCAGGTTAAAACCCTTCACTGTAGCAGGGATCTCAGCATCAAGTTCAAACTCCTTTACATCAGTTGCCAAATCTTTCATGATCAGGCTCCTGCCAGCCTTCTGTAGCCTCATCTCATGCTAATTCCCCTCCAGAATTCTCCCAAGCCTTACCTGTGCACTTGTGTGCCTGTTATCTCTCCCCTGGAAGCCAGTTTATACCATCTCCTCTACCCAGCACTAACTAGACTAGACTATACCGCCCTCTACTCGATAGCAGCGCTTCCCAAATGCCAGTGTGCTCAACCCCAGAAATTTTACATTCAGTACTTAGAGTCCAAGAATCTACTATTAAAAAGTGCCCCAAGTATTTCTCATGTGAGGCCAGATTTGGAAACCACTGATAAACAATTACCAGATTGTTAAAATATGTAGTGCCTTTGGAATAGTGCCTGGCACATAGTAGTAAGTGCCATATTATTGTTAACTGCTATTGATGTTGTCATTATAGTTATATGAAGCACATTTTTGTGACATTGTAGTCACAAAACTGGAACATTTACACAAAATCTAGTCTGAGAAGGAAAGGCTGAATTAAGCTAGGACTTCAGTGCACCTATACCCGATGTCATCCAAATCTCCTTTCTCTATACCTGCCTTCTGACCTGAAGACTCTCCATTTGCCTACTGAACATTTTTATATGGCTCTTCTGCAAACACCTCAAGAATATCTTGAAAATTCCAAACTTTTTTCTTATTGGGATCACCATCCTATGCTAGAAATCCTGAAATTTATCTATGCTAGAAATCCTGAAATCTACTTTATTTCCTTTTTCTTCCTCATCCTTCCTTTCCAGTCCATCACCAAATCCTATTTGTCCCACTTCAGAAGTGTCCCTCCAATCTATCCCTTCATTTCTGGAATAAGCCATGCCCTTTCCATATGCTACTGCTTTTATCTGACCCTTGCTTCTCTGCCTAGCATATTGCTGGTCATGTTTAAATGTCACTCCTCAACTTCTCCCCTCCCCCTACCCAGCAGCTACCAACTCTTCTGAACAGAAGTACTCTCCTCTGTCCCAGGGCACTTTGTACATAACTTTATTATAGCACTTATCACTTTGTACTTTGTGCTTACCTCTATAGCCTCAGCTCACGTTCTTCTCTCCCACTAGCTTGCAGACTGCTTAAGAGCAGATGCCACGGGTGAGTCATCCTATCACCCAGCACTTGATTAGTGCCTGGCACGTAGTAGGGGTTCAGATGTTTAAATGAATTTAAGCTACTAAAAATGCCTAAAATTAACACATTTCTTTTCTCTTTGTGCAGAGATTAGTACTGAAGAACAGCTAAGGCTCCTGCAAGAGGAGAAGCTTTGCAAAATCTGTATGGATAGAAATATTGCTATAGTTTTTATTCCTTGTGGACATCTGGTCACTTGTAAACAATGTGCTGAAGCAGTTGACAAATGCCCCATGTGCTACACAGTCATTACTTACAAGCAAAAAATTTTTATGTCTTAAAATCTAACTCTACAGTAGGCGTGTTATGTTCTGTCTTATTACCCTGTTTGAATGTGTAATATGAACCAACTTTAAGTAATCAGCATTGAATTCCATTAGCATTTGCAACTAGTTTTAAAAAAATGTAATCTGCAGTGTTGTAAGTTGGCAATCTGAAATTTTAATATCTGGATTTTTCATAATGGTAGCTGTATTATTTATCCAATTTTTTACTATTATTTAATTGAAATCCTAGACTAAGAAGCATCATATTGTAACTGATCACAATGTGTAGTTGTAGTACACTAAGTTAGCTTCTAAGCCTGAGTGGATTAATCGAATGAGTTCTTCATTCTTTTCTGATAGCCTTAGCAAATGGAGTATTCTGTGTAAATGTGGGGCTTAATCTCCCCAGTCACATAATTTGTTTTGTGTGAAAAAGGAACTGATCCACACTAGTAGAAAGATAGAGATTATATTTTGGTATTTGTCTTTGTGTTTTAGGATTCTGTCCATTTCCTTTTAAAATTATACACATGTGCTTGGATAAATGATATTTAAAATGATTTTGCCATTGTTAAAAGTATATTTAATGATAGAATACCATCCAGTCACATGTACTAATGTGGAAAAAAAAGTCAGAGATATATTAAGTATGAAAAACAAGTGGCAAAACACTGTATTTCATAAGCCAAATGAAGGTGTGTGTGTTTTGAGTGTGTCTAGAACAAAAGATTTGGAAAGATAGGTACCAAACTGTTAAATGTGATTTCTATTGAGGGGGTGGGTGGGGGATGGGTCCCAGAGGGGGTTTATAGGGGTCTTTCACTTTCTACTTTTTGTTTTATTCTGTTTGAATTTTTTTGTAAGTATGTATTACTTTTGTAATCAAAATTTTAGAAAGTATTTTACTGATTTAAAGGCTTAGGCATGTTCAAACACCTGCAAAACTACTTATTGCTCAGTTTTAGTTTTTCTAATCCAGGAAGGCAGGGCTGTTAACCTTTTTGGTGCCAATGTGAAATTTAAGTGTTTTTATGTTTTTCCTGCTTTGTGGATGAAAAATATTTCTGAGTGGTAGTTTTCTGACAGGTAGACCATGTCTTCTTCTCTTGTTTCAAAATAAATATTCCTGATTTTGTAAAATGAAATATAAAATATGTCTCAGATCTTCCAATTAATTAGTAAGGATTCATCCTTAATCCTTGCTAGTTTAAGCCTGCCTAAGTCACTTTACTAAAAGATCTTTGTTAACCCAGTATTTTAAACATCTGTCAGCTTATGTAGGTAAAGTAGAAGCATGTTTGTACACTGCTTGTAGCTATAGTGGCAGCTTTTCATGTTGAGATTCTCATATCCTCCTGTATCTTAAAGTTTAGTGTGAGTTTTTACTGTTAGGATGATTAAGATGTATATAGGACAAACTGTCAAGTCTTTCCTCTACATGAAATTTTTTTCTTGACTAGTAATAGTAGATACTTCTGAAGTACTTATTCTCTCAAGATCCTTAAAAACCTTTTGGAAATAATAAAATACTGATGAGAAAAGCATTGTTAAAGAGAAAATAAAACTTTAATAAGTCAATATAGGTGAAAAATGGAAGCTTAAAAAAGCTTTGTGGAACACCCAGGGTTTACATGCCAAGATTCCCACAATGATCTGTTATAAAGGTGAGTGAGACATTTTACTGCAGAAAAAAGGTTGGGAGTGAAACTGTTAAAAATTATGTATTTTCATTGTATTTCCTTAAAGAAAGAATTTTGTCATGTTCTCACCTCTGTTGATCACTACTGTAAGTGATACCCATTTAAAGCATTGTAAATCTGAAATTTCTTTTAATTAAATTGAGTACCCTGTTTTTGTAAATCTTCAGCTCTTTATCTTTACACTGTATTCCACTTAAGTTCAGTTACATATTCATTAAGTTAAATTTTGTATGTGTAGTCTAAACTTTTAAATTAAAATTACAAAGGGAGGAAGGTGTTAAAATTTTAAAATATGTTTTCCAGGACACATCAGCTCCAGATCATGTCGTTAGCTCAGTGTGTAGTTGGCCATGGACTGAATTGTTTTACCATAAGGCTTTTCTCCTGTCCTGAAAACCTTGGCTCATTAAAACTGTTCTTTTAAAATTTGTAGGTTTAGAGTTAAGCAAGACCTCTTTTCTCCCCATGAGTTGTGAAATTTAATGCATGAAGCTGAAGTGGCTAACAAGTCTATTTTAAGAATTGTTTAGAAATCCTGTTGCTTCATGTTCTTAAATCACTCATCACTCCAACTTCTAATCAAAATTTTAGGACTTAACCAATGTTTGTCTTTGTTCTCACTCTAAAAAGCCCTGGAACCTTCCCATCTAACTGTGCAAAAAATGATCACTTGCAAGATCAGAAAGATAACCAGATCCAACTCTGCCCCCTCTTCCCAAAATACTTATCACTATCTACATATAGACATGCCTTTTCTGTATAAAGTTCACTTGAAGATTTTAAAGTCACCACCAATTTTATTACATTTTAGTCATGTGAAAAGTTTAATTGTTTTGTAATAAATAGTTATCTTTATTCGTAACAATTTAGTGTGTTGGTCATAAACCTTGTCTTGATTTTTGAGAAATGGACTTAGTGTTTATAAATTCCAGTTTGTTAAGTAATGGCTTTGTATTGCCTTTCTTGCTCCATTGGTTTGTTTTTCTTCTCTCCTTTGGCTAGGGGCTAAGGTGAGGTAGGGTGGGTATAGGGAGTGTATGTAATGTGAGTTGGCCCTGTGTGTTATGATCTTTTGTTGTTGTTATATTGTTTAAATTTTGGTAGTTATTTTTTGTTGTTGTAATTTTTTTTTCATTTTACTAGGGAAAAATTTGTATTTTAAAAGCTCTGAATGGAGACTACCACCACAGCATTAGTTGCCTGTATCGTACCCTTTACATCCAAATTATTATTTCCTGGTTATCCAGGTGTAGGACAGGAAAAAAGGGTGAAAAGGTGGGGAAAATGGGATAGGTTATATATCATTTTCATTCGAGAAATAGGAAAATAAGATGGAATATATGACAGATATAGTTCTTTTTAGCCAAATATGCTTTAAAAGAAAAATATGTTAATTCTATTCTTTACACTGGAACCCCCTGTGAGTTGTCTTGATCCTGAAAATTTGATCTAAAACTAACTCTGTTACTGTTAGTTATCTTTTCTGTTGCTTAGCATAATTAAGATATAAATTACCATTGATAAATTAGGTCAAGTCCTTTAAAATATTTATATTCCTTTTAACAAATTTGAAAAAATTATTCTCAAATTTAGTTGAACTAATAGAAAATAATTGGCTTATTCCCACCTTCATAGTCAGTTTCAATTTGACTCTTACACACTAAACAATGTGAATTTCACTTGCAGCATAATAGAATCATTGGGTCTCAGAGCTAGAAGTGACCTTAGAGAGTATCTAATTCATCCCCCTCATTTTATAGGTGAGGCAGCTGAGGCTCAAAGGTAAGGTGATTTGTTCAATGCTGTGTAACTAATTAGTGACAACCCAGACTGGGATATAGTTTGAAGGTGAAAAGCTTCAAGCTCCCTCCCCTGGGAGGTCTCATATGTTTATTTTTTTCAACTATTCTTTCTTCTGTATCATAGCCCTCACTACATATTAAATGACACTTTATAACTGATACTTTAGGACAATCTTAAATACATATCTTCAGATTGTACAATACAACATTAATGTTTGGGTGGTAAGATACTATTTTGAAGTCTAAAGTTTGTGTATATGCATATTAGAGTTTTTGGCATTTACTGCATTCTTATTGTATGTCATTAATGTAACATTTAAAAATCCTACATAAGTATAGTTTGTCATTTTGTCTATAGTTAGCATCAAATTTGCATTTTTTATTTGATAACAAAGGCTTTAATATGGTTTCTGATAGAAGATTTTGCATTTTTTTCATTACTGTTAAACTTTATCTAACATGACAGAATGACTGATTCTTATGTCATTGTATTAGTGTTGTGAATAGTCATGTGACATGTTTTGAGATAGAGTACTATATTTGTGAATATAATTTTATGGCTTTTATTAGAAACCTTTCCATCAATATGGGGAAACTAAGAAAATTTCTTTCCACTGTATAATCTGGCAGTCATCATAGATTACTTATTTTTCTGTGAATAAAACTTATTCAATAAAGTGCTATTCTTTAAAATCATCTTATTACTTTGCATTTGTTTCCATTTCTCACAAAAAATAGTATAAGTACAGTCCACATTTTTTTCTTACATGTCAACTGTACTTCAATGAATATTGATAAGAATTTTCAAAGTTTTACAGAAATTTTCAAACTTACACAAAAGTAGAAAGTGTAGAGAACCCCAGAGTCCTTATGATTCTGCTTCAACAAATAGCAACATTTTGCTGATCTTGTTTTCATCTGGGATGCTCCCCCCTTTTTTACTGGGTTTGTTCTAGACATGTCATTTTTCCTGTAGTTGACTTATTATCTACCTATACCAGATAAGGGAGGGGTGGGGAAAGGAAGGACTAGAGTCAAAATAAGGGGGGAGGTGCAACTGTATGGGGAATATAACCAAAATGAAAATGCATACATTGTGCAAAGATGAAAAAAGATGTAAGAATTATATAAAATGAAATATTTAAATAAAAAATATCAAAATCATCAAGCAACTGTAGACCAGAGACACACTACAGTGAGGGGCCGGGGAAGGAGAAGAAGGATTAGGGTCCGAAAAAGGAGGTGGGAATTGTATGGGGAATATAACCTAAATGAAAATGCATGCATTATGCAAAAATGAAAAACGATGTAAGAATTATATAAAATAAAATAATTCATAAAAAATAGTGCTGCTATAAACATAGGGGTGCAGGTATCCTTTTGAATTAATGTTTCTGTGTCCTTTGGGTAAATACCTAGGAGTGGAATTGCTGGATCATATGGAAGCTCTATCTTTAGTCTCATTCATAGCAGGAATTTAGAAAACCTAAATAAGGGACCAGGAAAAAGACTAATTACAATAAAGAAAAAATCAAAATCAACAAGCGACTATAAACCAGAGAGACACTACGGCGGGGGGCGGGGGGGGGCGGCAGGGGCGAGGAAGGAGAGGAGGGATTAGGGTCAAAATAAGGGGGGTGGGAATTGTATGAGGAATGTAACCAAAATGAAAATGCAAACATTGTGCAAATATGAAAAATGATGTAAGAATTATATAAAATAAAATAGAAAAATATTAAAAAAGACAACAATACTTTAAAACAGTGTTCACTATTTCATTTGTAGTTTGCTTATAGATTATAGGATAAATGTGTTACATATAAAATGTTAGTAGGCTAACTATGTGGTGTGTGGATACTTAGTGGTTCCCAAAATGTGGTCCAGGGACCAGCAACATCTGTATCATCTGAGAACTTGTTAGTAATGGAAATTTTGTGGCCCCCTACCTCAAACCTATGTCTGTTTTT